GTAGATATATAGATATATAGATGAAAGGCTGTGCATAATGGCAGACCAAGCTACACAATACGTATACTTGTACACGATCGGTTGTAGATACTGTTGTTTTTGTTTATCGGCTTAGATCGATGGGCGAACACACTAGTTCTTGTGTCTATCTCTTTATAAACACCCTATTCTAGAGTGTGAAAATTTTATGTTTTTTATTTTATTTAATAATTTATTTATGTATTAAAAAGCTACAGTACATATTCAGGGTTTTTTTTGTGACAGGCTCGCGGCAGAAAATTTTACAACCTTTTTTCATAAAAGTGCGATATCTTTGTTCATGATATTTCATTTTAGAATGCTATGTAAAATACATACTACATACCTTGATATCTGATTTTGTTTTCTCGTTTATAAATATATAATAAAGCAAAACAATATTTGTGAGTTCATACAGTCAGAGTCTGAGAGTCACAGACCATTTTTTTTTTAAATAGAGTAGTTAGTACTTAGAACAGGGACCGCCGGGGCGCCGGGGCGCAGGACCGGTTACAAAATCACAATCCTTTCCTCTGAGTTTGTGCTTTTTTAGGGTTTAGGGCTTAGGGTTTAGGGTTGTTCTGTGTCTATTTTCGTTTTTTAAAAACAAATATATAAACAAAATTTAAAATTGGCATTTGTCCGAAATCCTTATATATAAATATTGTATGGAATCATCATCCAGAGACGTAGTTTTTTTGTAGTTTTTTTGGTCTTAAAGAATGTAAAACAATAAATAGTAAATATTTTCATATTTGTGTCATTTGTTACTTTACAGTTTTTGTATGCAAACTTTTCACTTTTGGTTTCTTTTGCTTTGTAATATTGTAAAAATATATATATATATATATAAATGTCAATTGAAGACTGAAATGTGAACGCCAATGGTAATCATTTCGATGAAAAAGTATCCTAATATGGTCGTCGTATTATTTATATGCAGTATGATATGAGAGGTTTTTTTATGTTCCCGATATCCCTTACGTAAATATTAATAGTATTTACCATTGCATGCTGTGTATATGTCGCGGAGACAAATTACACCGCAGAGCCGCAGACATCGTTGATATCGGTATTGTATAATTCGTTGTCGTATACTCAATTATTATAAATACAGCTCGCTTAATCTTCTAGTCATCAGATCTTTGGAACGCTGTTCATCAACGTCCTAAATATTCAATAATGACTGGTAAACTGATAAAGGTTGTTACTTGTGCTGTAGTAAGTGTGGCTTTGGTCGAAGCAGCATGCACCGACGACTCGACATATGATGCTGGTCGAAACCAGGCTGAAGTACAATGGAATGCCGCTTGGAGCTACAAGAATGAAGACTGCATGGAGATTAACAATGTCTACAAGCAAGTGCATAAAGCAGCTCCTAGCTCGCCTGAGTGTCTAAACGAAGGTTTCGAGGACGAGCTTGACTCCTTATACGATGATCAAATGGAAGAATGTCTAGTGTATTGTGAGCAAGTAGGTGAGAACTATGCGGAGAGTGCTTGGGCTCAGGCTACTAAAGACAACGAAAACGTGGAGGTTTCCTCTTGTCAATATTTGGATGCCGTTTTCCAACAGGCTAACCGGCAAACGCCTAGTACGCCCGATTGCTTGCGTAATTCTTTCCAGGAGTGGACAAATGCAAAATACAATGAGGACCTAGACGATTGTGTCGATGAGTGTGTTGGCTATGGTGAAAACCAGGGCGAAAATCTTGCGCAACAATTCTGTGCAATTGCTCAACCCTTGGGGGCTGAACTTTACGATGAAGGCTTGACTATTGTAATCTGTAATCAGCAAGAAGAACAGGCATGTTTGGACACTTTTGATTCCTTGAGCTATGAGAACTGTCCCGATGTGCGCGACAACAGTGCGAACGACGAATATTACAAAGCACTGACACAATCGTGCCAATACACTATCGGGCCCCAACCTAGCAACCCGGATGAAATTACCTGTGAAGCGAAGTGGATCGGACGACCGGACGATAAACCGGATTGCCCCGGCTTTTTGGCTGACAAGGAATGTTGCCAGTGGTCCAACAACTGTGGAGATTTGCCTAAGTGTACCGCTTCTTATTGTTGTCCCGAGGAATCGAATTATATCAATTGCGAGATCAAGGAGAGTGAAGGGGGAATTAGTCAAAGCCCTTGCGATTTAGATGCCAACAAACAGTGCTGCCGCAACTCGGGTAAATGCGGGGATTGGCCCAAGTGCACAAACTCGTACTGTTGCAAGTAAAAGAGGAACTCCCATGTTGTTCGACACGTAATCTCGAGAAATTAAAATTTGGTTTTTTAACTATTGTATATTTACACAACTATTTGTAAAATAGTTTTCTGGTGAAAATACCTCGCTTATATAATCTCTATCGAATTGATTTTAAACCGCTATCGAATAACTATTATATTGAAAGCATATGTATGTCATTTAAAAACTTATTTAACTATTAATATCATTTAACTCGGACCACGTTTGAATCTGC